TTGCTATTGGCATCGTTACGCTACCGTAAACATGTTATATAAAACGGATGCCGCTGTTTAACACATGTCTGTGCGTGCAAATTGTTTACTAACACAAGTGTTATTTCAGAACGCTTCGGGCTACAAAATATTTTACTATCTCCCGCTAAAGAAATTGGCCCCGTATCTGCATGTTACACTGCAAATATCGTCGAAAGACGGCAGTCTTGTGTCAGAGAGTGAACGTTTATTTGATGTTCTGCGTCATAAAATTGGTAAATGTTATACTCAAGGCACAGCATTAGGGTGCCTCAGGCATCTAGCAAAGGCAAACGAACGCATCAAATCAGGTCACACGCGAGACATAAGCGCTATCTGGCAGTTATCTTAGAAAATGAAGCGCGCGCGCCCTGCGCGCCTGTGTAGGAGGTGATAAGGTGTAGAACGCAAGGCGACGTGTACGCGCTACCACCATGTCGTCTTAGCAGGGCGTTGGAAACACTTGCCTTTTCTTGCAAGCATTGCCTGGTCAACGCAACGTGATCAATGGTACGGTCCTTATAAATACTTGTATATGCCTTTTCTAAATATAGACACACATACAGAATATTGACGCGTTGTTATGGTGCCTCAGATATGTGCAATAGTTGCTTTTTAATCGACAATCACACAAATATGAACGCTAAGTCTTGAGCAATATTGGTCGGTGCTGCGGATTGGGTCGAGCGTTTGGAGTATTGTTTGGCCAATTCTGTGCCGTTGAGGTTACCGTAAAGAGCGGACAAACAGACAATTGTACAGACAGATAGGCAGAAAGACAGACCAACATTTTTGCGCGAAAGGTCCCCAAGAAAGAATATCTTTAAAAAAATTGGCAGCATATCTATGGAGTGAATGATGGAGAGTGGGGCGAAGCATTCGTCGGTCCATTTGTTCTTGCTTCCGTCCGTTCATGCGTCCGTCTGTGTGACTGTCCATGCATCCATCCGCCCGTCCGCGCGTGCGTCTGTTCGTGCGTCCGTCCCTGCCTTCGTCCATGCATCTGTCTGTGTGTCCGTTCGTCCATCTATTCAACACTCCAAGTACCATCATCTCGCATCTTCTCATCTTATATTCCCCATATAGAAGCACCGCCATCCAGCGGACATTCCAAGGACTAAACGAGAGGTGGCACACGCACACTTTCTTACGGCTTGCGCTTCGGGTCTACTTCCCACCTTTACCCACCTTAAGTTCATGGTATATGCTAGTTCACTGTATTCATGGCACTGCGTCCCAACGCTCGCCAAAGCTGTCTAAAATCAAGGTGGTTACGCCCAGCGAGTATAACGTAGCAACCTTTCCCTGTCAGATAGTGCTCAATGTACATACATGCCAATGGCTGCTAATGGGAAATGAGAGACAGGAGAATTCGGCTTTTACTTTCTTACGACTTGCACTTCGTATCTACTTAATAATAATAATAGTAATGACTTTATTTCGCATCAAGGATACGTGATGCAGGAGACCTGCAGGAAAAGCTGGCGTGATGCCAGCTTGACAAGGCCGCAGGCCCCCCTTCCCCCTCCCCGAACACATCGCAGCAGCGGTAACACTTTCATAAAAACATTCGGGATCATACGCGTAAAATAAACAGGTCTATGACAAGAAAGAAGTCATCACTGTACATGTGTGGTAAAACGAAACGTCTAGTGCTTAAACAACAACAACAAAAAATCTATTTCAAAAGATGGAAAAATGTTGGCGTATTTGCCTTAAAAAAAGGAAGCATTTGCGTAATACATCCGAGCGAAGCATACAAACATGCATACGACAAAAATGAGCAATCAACACTGTACAGGTGTAACATATTGGTACATATAATGCTATAAACAAATAATTTCGCAATGTGAAATACAGGCGCATTTGCCTTGCAAAACACAGAAAAAAGCATCATAAAAGAATATGCCTAATTTATTGCTTTGGCAACACTACAAATGCATACTCATTTCCTAAAACAGAAAAAACAAACAAGACACCAAGAAACATATCGTGAAAAAAAAACACAAAGCAGTATACAAAATACACGTCAACAAAAACAAAATACAAAAATACATTCTTTAGAAAATTACAAGTAACAGAAACGAGTGATCATGACGTCTGGAGGAAATGATTCCGCAGTTGTTTAAAGGTGATTTTTTCTAAGTCAATTTCGTTATCCCTAAGTTCATTTAGTAACCTTGGAAGTTTATTTCCCAACGATTGAAGACCGTATGTGGTTCTAAAGGTTCGAACAGTCCACACTTCATTTTTACGGGTATTATACTTAGGCTGGTTGAGTATTAAATCTTCCAACTGCTTTAGAAATAGGTTAGAGTTTTTTATGTGTTGCTTATATTTCTTGGACAGAAGAAAATCATACATTTTTGTTACTGGCATTAGGTTGTATGTTTCAAATAAGGAACGAGTATGATAAGTACGTGGCACGTTCTCTACCACCCGTACAAACCTTTTTTGCAACATATGAAGTTTGTTTATGTTTTCTTTAGAAGTTAGAGCCCAAACTAGATGGCAGTAATTGATTCTTGATAAAAATAAGGTATTGTAAATTAACAACAAAATATTCCAAGGAAGCAAGTGCTTGTTTCGGTACACAAGGCCGACTACCTGAGGGACCTTCGTAGCTAAGAAGTGTATGTGGTGATCCCATGATAATGTTTCTTGAAATATTACTCCTAATATTTTAAGAGAAGGGACTATCTCGACAGAGGTGGAATTTAAAAAGATCGTTTGTTTTACAATTTCCGCTTTATTTTTAGCATGAAATACCATAGCCTTAGTCTTTGCAACATTTATTTTTAGACCATTTTCTCTTGTCCATTTTTCTAATCTAGTCAGCAGTATATTTGCATGCGTTATTAATTCGTTCACTGATTTTCCTGTTAAAAATATATTCGTATCATCTGCATATATTATAAATTTTACGTTAGAGGAGATGTTCACGATATCATTAATGTAAATATTGAAGAGGAAAGGTCCTAAAATGCTTCCCTGTGGAACTCCTGCAACGATTGACAAAGAATCGGAATTGCAACCACCCAGGCTAACAATCTGATTACGGTGTTGCAAATAAGACTGTAATAATGATCCCGCCGTTCCCCGAATACCGTACCGTTCCAGTTTTTCTATAAGTAATTTGTGGTTAATGTGGTCAAAAGCTTTCGTAAAATCTACGAACAACCCCAACACAACGTTTCCCTGTTCGAATTGCTGTTAAATGTACTCTTTCTGTGCCATGAGAGCATATTCTGTACTGAAGCCTTTGCGGAAACCATACTGCGAGTCATGAACCAACTGAAACTTCCATTCAAAATTAGTCAGCCGTTTTAATATTAGTTTTTCTAATGCCTTCGATAGGACTGGCAGAATGGACACAGGCCGGTAATTCGACATGTTATTTCTATCGCCTTTCTTGAAGAGGACGGTAACGCGTGCAACTTGCATTTTTGTGGGAAAAACAGCCCGGCCAAGGCACAAATTGAATATATGCGTTATATAAGGAAGAAATATTATAATGACATGCTTTATAGGTTGAACTTGTATCCCGTCAATATCAAGTGCTGTACTGTTTTTCAAATTCAAAACTAATTCTTTCACTTCATTCTCACTTGTCGGATCAAGAAAAATGATACTGTCGATAAATGGGACACTTCCAAGGTTACTACTCACATCACATTTTTCTGCGACATTAACAAAATATTTATTGAAAGTGTCGGCCAAGGGTTTTCCTGATATGACTTCGCCGTTAAGATTCATGCTATGTACTGAACCCGTGGACACATTGCGATTTAAGAGAGAATTTAGCCTTTTCCACATTATATCTGAACACCCAGAAACTGAACTAAACATATTGTTATAATATTCTTGTTTTGCCTTTTTGAGATCTTTATTTAGGCGATTTCGTTTAACCTTGAATTCTTTAAACAATTTAGGGTCTTTCGTTTTAAGATAGCGGCTAAATAACATAATTTTTTCTTGTATTTTTTTCCGAAGTTCCGCGTTGATCCAGAGTTTACGAACTTTCCTGTTCTGCTTTGTTTTAACCAGAGGAAACGAAGCAGTATAAATTGGCTTTAGTATGTTCAAAAATTCTTCGTACGTCTTGTTTGGCTCATTCATTTTGAATATATTCGTCCAAGGAGCCCTCAAAATCTTCTCCGAAAATATTTTCAGAGTTTGTTCGTTTATACGCTGGGTGAAAAATGTTTTCGGTTTGTTTTTGTCACATAAGTGTTTCCTACAACAAATGTATATTGGCAAATGATCACTCAAATCTACAGTAATAACACCAGCCTTGAGGTTTTCTGTCGGTATATTTGTTAAAAACAAATCAATCAAGGACGAAGACATTTGTGTGATTCTCGTAGGGACAGTGATCATATTTGAAAAGCAATGAGATTTCAGCAAAATATCAAGTTTTTGTACTATAGCTTCCTGTTTGAGCATATTTATGTTCATGTCACCGCCACACACAACGTCTAAGCGATTTGTGTGGATTTGTGTGAACGTAAAAAAACGTGTCCAGGTAATCCAGAAAGGATGCCGTTTCGTCATTTGGTGGTCTATAACAAACGGCAAGAACCACATTTTGTAGTTTAACTGATAGAAATTCGAAGTCATTGCAAGAGTGGGTGAAATTTTGAATTAGGTCACAGTCAAGGACCTTTTTCACTAGAATACATACGCCACCGCCACGACCAGAAATTCGATTAAGGTAGAACGTATTGTACGAAGGCAAGCGAAACACGCTGGCTTCGTCTGTTGACCATGTTTCAGTTAACATTATGACGTCGAATACATGACTTAATTGTTCGAAAAAAAGGCTAAGGTCGGACTGTTTATTATTTACCGATTGCACATTCAAGTGAAAACATTTAAACGAGTTTGAATAGAAATTTCCCAAACTCTGCGAAAACGCTTCCGGAAGCACATAAGAATCGTTTCCTACGCAAGCCATGTTGAGCAGATCATTTCTTCTTTTTTTAGCTTAGTTTGTTTAGATCACGAGCATTTGCCATGCGTATGGCTTTCTCCCCATCAGCTTTACGCACTAGAACTTTCCCGTTTGAGTGCCATGCATACTTGAAGTTCGCTTCTTTAGCCCAGTTCTTTGCCTCAAACAACAGCGCACGCGCTCTTTTGGTCAGGTTTTCCGTCAAGAAGACGTGCTCATTTAGGCTGCTCAGTTCCTTTCTGTTTTTCGACCAGAAATCTCGGTCCGCTTGCTTCGCAAAATGACAGATAACGACCGGCGTCTTATTTTTTCTGGGCGGAAGCTGATGAATGGCGACCACATCACTTTCTGCGAGTGGCGGGAACTGGTGTTTAATTGCCATTGCATTGATCGCTTCTAGCAAGTTTTCATCTTCCGTTTCCTGTATTCCATGGAATTCTAAGTTGAGTCTGCGGCTCCTCCACTCAAGATTATCTACTTCTGCCTGCACTTCAGCTACTTCTCGGTCCCGCATCTCAATCTTTTCCAATCTGCGCCTAAGGTCCTTGACGTCACGCTCGTTTTGTTCCGTTTTTTGAGTATTTCGTCGTATTTCTCACTCAAGTATTGCACCGCGTCGTCAATGCTCTCAACTGTCTCTTTGAGCAGTACTAGCTTATCCAGCTTGTCGTTAATAGCTTTCATCCAAATTCGGACATCTTGCATGTCGGCCTCACTGCCTGGTTCTTTTGATTCAGCTGATGCTGCTCGCAACCTCGACCGTCTACAGGTAGGGCCGCGCCATGCATCGCAGTATGCCTGCCCTTTGGACTTGATAGTTGCTTCAGAAATTCCAGCACATTTGCCGGCGTGAAATGCTTGACAGCAGTCGCTACATTCAATCCATACGACGTCCCCAGTGAACGGCTTATCGCACACAGAGCATGTTCCATCTCGGGGCATAGTTGCACAAAGCGACAAATCAGAACGGTAGTTTACACAGCAGCACCAGCAGTAGCAGCAGTAGTTGCGGCACAACCAAATTTACAGCGGGCATAGGAACAGCACCAACCTGCGAAACAGAAGAAGAGACCGTGTTCGTTTACGCCGTTCTTTCCGCCGCAACCGCTCCTGCCAAGTGGTCTCGGTGATGGCTTGGTCCTCCCTTTAAGAAGCCCAGTGGCTGTACGGCGCAGGTGCGGTAGAATTCATCGCAGGGTAGTTGGGCGCAGGCGCAGCGGAGCTTGTTGCTTCTCCTTCGCACCGACGGCGATGTGCATATGGACGACGACAAATGCGCGCGGTGTCTGACGAATGCCAACAGCCTGCGAAACAGAAGAAGAGACCGTATTCGTTTGCGCCGTTCTTTCAGCCGCAACCGCTGCTGCCAAGTGGTCTCGGTGATGGCTTGGTCCTCCCTTTAAGAAGCCCAGTGGCTCTACGGCGCAGGTGCGGTAGAATTCATCGCAGGGTAGTTGGGCGCAGGCGCAGCGGAGCTTGTTACTTCTCCTTCGCACCGACGGCGATGTGCATATGGACGACGAAAAATGCGCACGGTGTCTGACGAATGCCAACAGCCTGCGAAACAGAAGAAGAGACCGTGTTTGTTTACGCCGTTCTTTCCGCCGCAACCGCTGCTTCCCACCTTTAGTCACCCCGAGTTCGTGGTATTTACTAGCTCATTGTATTCATGGCACTGCAGCTCAACGCTCGCTAAACCTTTCTAAAACTAAAGAGGTTACACTCAGCGAGTAGCACCCAGCGAGTAGCAACCCTTTCTTGTCAGATAGTGCTCAATGCACATGCCAATGACTGCTAATGGGGAATGAGAGACAGGAGCATTCGGCTTTTAGTTAACGCACATGCCGTGAACTTTTTATTGTTCAACAAAGCATAGGAGGAATCTCCCACCGTCACCACGTTGCAGGTCAAAGTGTAACACTTGTTACACACTATGACTACGACTACGAGGGACGAACGGGTGCCGCTTTAAGGAGCTTTGCCCCTAGAACCATGCTTATATATGCGAAGCAGCAGGTGCTTAGTCTAACACTGGCGGTGGCGTTGGCGCTGGCACTCGTCGTGGCGTTGCGTGAGAGAGAAACCTACGGAGGTGCTAAGCACGCAGTGATTTACCGGGATTTCTAAATAGAACACGGGAGTTGCTACGAATGGGCAATGAGAGTCAGATGACTTGGAATGGACATAGACACCCGCAGTCCACTTTTAATAAACGCGCACACTGCGATTTTTTATTGTTTAACTGCGCACATAAGAAATCTTCCACTGGCACTGCCTTGAAGATCCAGGGCCTACATAAACACTTTGAATAGTGAAGAAATGCACCGCATGGCCAGTCTTTTTTGTTGTTTTTTTCATCACAAAACTCGTTAGAAGAAGCTGCTAACTTCGGCAATGTGAGGCAAGTGAAAGAGACGGGTGGTGGAGGGGGCACGTATGCGCAATGGGGTCTAAAGGATACTGGGAGAGATTCCGCAGGAGACAGAAAACCGAGCGATCGTGGAGCAGCATACGCTGCCTGCGTCAGCGTTGCGAGGCGACAGAGTAACAACATAGAAGTTGTAGGAGACGCACCTGAGCTGCGTTGGTGATAAGGGTGCTGGGAGCAATGCCTAGATGAGATAGAAGGGGAAGTGAGCGTAGACTAGCACGCTGTGTGCGTCGGCTTTGTGAGGCGAGACCGAGGGGCGTGGGATAGGAGAGATGGAAGGGGGCGCGCATACACTGTACGGATGGTCACGCCGAATTGAGCAAAGGTGCTACGCGTCAAATAAGCGGCCTTTTTCAGTCACCATCACCATCATCAGCCTGACTACGCCCACTGCATGGCGTAGTCTGGCTGATCCGTCAATCAACCTGTTCCATGATCCGTCAATCAACCTGTACGTGTGCTTTCTGCTGCCACGTTAGAGCTGCAAAATTTTTATTCTCATCGGCCCTGTTGTGACCGGTGCCAGAGCTGACAGGAGAGCGGCGCTACTTTTAATCCCCAATCATGTAGACGACCGGCCGGCTGCCTATGCTCGTCAGGCATTGTCTGTGCTAACCGGAGGATGAGACGTCGTGTCGCCTAGACGCCGGTAACCGTTTGAGAGAGGCCAAAAAAGACAGCATTTTCCTGGAAGAGACCGTGGCGGCCACCGCTAATCACCCCGCTAATAAAGCGAACAAAATCGGTGGACCTGTTGATGTATGCTGCCCGTATCGTGGGACCTCTCGTCTAGCGGCACACACACGACGAGGAAGAGCCCTGCTGGTGCCACCTTGCAGTGCAGTGTTCACGACTCATTATTGGATGTTCACGTGGACCATGCATGCTTGTCCCCCTCACCTGTTGTCTGTGTGTGATTGGTGTGCCACTCGGAGAGGAGGAGCCCGACAGGGCTTAAAACAACGCCGCAGAGTGCTGGACGTCGCTCTGAAACATGTAACGGTTCAACCACCACGCTCGTGGTTTGTGAAACCCCTAACCTTTCTTTGCTGTATATATGTGTAAATAGTGTGATAAACCTGCTTGTTTTTCGAATCCTCCAGCGATCTTCCTTCCGACCCTTAACAGCCCACATAACTTTGCCTCCATTTCGTGCGTTTGCCTTCTCAGGGAATTCAGTGAGTTACCCTTATTGACCAGCGGTTGTCTTGCCTACGTGCTACTTGCCCAGCCAATGTCAATTCGTTCTTTTTTATACCAGCTATAATATTTCCGCATGTTGTTAGGCAACTACCAAAGCCTTGTGCCGCTTCCTGCTCTTATGAATTCTACCGCACCAGCTGACATGCCGAACGCGCCATGCAACGCTGGCTGCACGTGTCACCTCACCACGCGCGGAAAAAAAATGGCAGCATATCCACGAAGTGAATGATGGAGAGTGGGGCCAAGCATCCGTCCGTCTATTCGTTCCTGCTTCCGTCCGTCCATGCGTGCGTCTGTGTGGCTGCCCTTGCGTTCGTCCACCCGTCCGTGCGTGCGTCTGTCGGTGCGTCCACACGTCCATCTGTGCTTCCGTCCCTGCGTTTTTCCTTGCATCTGTTCTTGCGTCCATCCATACGTTCAACCGTCCGTGCAGCCATCCGTGCGTCCGTCCCTGGATCTGTCTGTGTGTCCGTTCGTCCACCTATTCAACACTCAAAGTACCACCATCTCACATCTTTTCATCATATATTCCTCGTATAGAAGCACCACCATCCAGCGGATATTCCAAGGACAGAATGACAGGAGGCACACGCACACTTTCTTACGGATTGCGCTTCATGTCTACATCCCACTTTTAGCTAGCTCGATTTCATGGTGTATACTAGTTCACTGTATTCATGGCACTGCGGCCCAAATCTCGCTAAACCTTTCTAAAACCAAGGCGGTGACGCCTAGCGAGTATAACGTAGCAAGCTTTTCTTGTAAGATAGTGCTTAGTGTACATGCCAATGGCTGCTAAGGGGAATGAGAGACACGAGAATTCGGCTTTTAGTGAACGCGCACGCTACAAAATTTTGTTGTTCATCAACGCACAAAAGAAATCTCCCATCGGCACCACCTTGGAGGTCCAAATGTAAGACTGGTTACACAGTACTACTACGACTACGAGGGACGAACGGGTACAACTATGAAGGGCTTCGCCCCTAAAAAGGCTGCTTGCTTTTCGAAGGAGCGGCACGCGGTGAGGCGCAAAAAGAAGTCGACGAGGTTTTCGCTAGCGAACTCAGGACAACCTTTGTGTTTAAATGCGAAGTATTTCTTAGCGAATTTCAGCGACCTTGAGCCTATCTATCTATCTATCTATCTATCTATCTATCTATCTATTTATCTATTTATCTATCTATCTATCTATATATAGATCTATCTATCTATCTATCTATCTATCTATCTATCTATCTATCTATCTATCTATCTAACCATCTACGACTTTGGACTCTCCTGGCCGTTTCGATAATGGTATCGATACCAAAATTGATGTGGCATAACTTGACTATATGAAAAACGTATCTGACTAGTTATGACTTGAAAAGCATGACGTGTAAGTAATGAATGTAACAATTTACGTTTCATGGTCCTGCAGCTCTTGCGGTGGTTACCTTCACATGACATGTTGCAAAACAGGTATGGTATGACATGATCGCTGGCGAACACAAGCGACAGACCCTAACATGAATATATGACATGCGTGTAATGTAACAACATGACTACATGCCACGCTCACGATGCGCTGCCGGCCCTTCCACTATTGTCGCATATACCAAATTTGGTATTACAGTACGTGAACGGATGACGAAGGTATGTGGTTGGTGCAAACATGATAATCATAAGAAGCGAGTCATGTAACAACCAGACTACGTGCCACGCTCATGATGCGCTGGCGGCCGCTTCGCTAGCTTCACTTATACCAAATTTGATATTACGGGACGTGAATGGATGACGAAAGTATGATACCGGTGTAAAGATCATAAATATGAGATGCGTGTTATGTAACAACATGATTACACGCTACGCTCATGATGCACTCGCGGCTATTTCGCTAAGTTCAGATGTACCAAACTCGCTATTACGCGACGCGAACGGACATAGGTAACTGGCACATTCGAACATAATAATCACGACATGCGGGTCATGTGAGGATATGACTGCACGCCAGACTGATGATGTACTCGTCACCAATTCGCTAGCTTTACATGTGCCAAATTTAGTATTACGTGACGTATATGGATGAAGAGGGTATGTGACCTGCGCAAACATGATAGTCATGCAATGCGTGTCATGTGAGAACATGTATACGTGCCACAGTC